ATCACATATGTAAGTGTGAACTAGGGTCGCAGCACTTATGAAACCCAATAGTTGTTAAAGGTCAAAATGAAGACAGTCATGAGAACATAAAGTATTAGAAAAGATATTGTGCGAGTACTATTGTCTTGGTTTACACTAATGGCTGAACAATCCAAGGAATCATGTTCACTGATTAGCCAAGTAAATTTGATAGTATTTCACTAATGCAGGTTCAAAGCAGAAGTTACCTTTTCTGATACAATAGCTTTCTGACTGTACTCTTTATTAATGTTTGAATTATCTTTTGTATTTTTGAGAAATTTTCATTCACGTGTAGGATTGTTGGAAATGAGTTTATAAGTAGGTTGATTTTTAATCAACTTTGACCAAGTTTTCAGATAGGTTCCTTGAATTAATTTATGTGGATAAATAGTCAAACACATTATATTCCCTGGGTTGATGATCTTGGTATATTTGGTTTCATGAAACCATATCCGAATGAATAAGAAATTAATTCCTAAAGTAAGGATGTTGTAATGGAGAAATTGGAATATAAAAGGAACAAAGTTCAAACTTTGTCTCACATAGGAAAAAGAAGGAAGCTATGACTTGTTTATTAATCCCTATATTAAGACTTAGGTTTGGGACCAAAGGGATACCACTAGTCGCAAAAGCGAGGAGGACCAAGATCTTATTGAATTCAGTCCACACGAGCATGCGCGCCATTCACTGTCATCCGCCTGTCCAATCGGTCGGCTCGACACAGCTTGGGTCATGGGTCAAAGTTAAATGGGCTTAGATATGGGCCTAGCCTATATATTAGTTTTTGATAAAAATAGTTAATTAATTAATTAATTGTTTTGGATGATTAATTAAATTTTTGAAAATTTTGTTCGATGCTGGAGCGAAACTCTGGCAGTGGTTCCTGAGCTTTACAAGAGCAGTTGGCCTCAATTAATGGCGCCGAGGCTTTGGTGAGAAAAGTTATGTCTGTTCGAACAAGGCATTACCTACGAGTGGTGTCTATTTGAACACAACTTTTGACTTATTATTAATATGCTCCCGTGTTCTGTAGAATCCATATCATTCATAAGCATTATATTCATTCTTTTCCAAAAGATTTTTGCATCATAATTTCTTATCATCTAGAGAGTAGATAGCATATTTTTCGAGTTCTTAATTCTTGCCATTTGAAGTGCTTTTGCAACAAGAAAAATGTCACATCTTGGGAGACGATTACCAACATACCGTAAACCACTAGGCGGGGCAAATTCATCTTAAAAAGATATAGTCGAAATCTAGCGTCGGTCTACCATATTCATTCCACGTTCTTCATTTCTGCGGTTTGTTTTATTATTCAAGTAAGTTATTTACTGTGTTTTTATTTCAGAATATAGATTTTATCTTCATTATTTACCCAACATATAGAACTGCTCATGTCCATTCTAAACAAACTATTCACAATATATTGTGTGTTATTGCTAAGCATTGAGCCATAATGTTATATGTCCAGAAAAATGAACGTGTACTTACAAGGTAAGATCCAATTTATTAGTAAAGACAAAATATATAGTGTGTTACAATGATGAATATGCGTTTTCTTGGGCATTACCGCGGATATAACTCACTCATTGTAGCATCATTTATTGACAAACAAACATAATTAGATGACCTTCTGTTTGACAATTCTTTAGTCTCTGATGGTATTGATTTGAGGTCTTGAAGAAGAGAAATTTTTGGATCAAAACTACTAGACACAAAAAAAGCAGGCTGTGAAGGTATTGGCAGAGTTATAGAAAAACTATTGAGCATAAGAACTATTTATAGAAAAGATATTGTATGAAAATATTGTTCTGCTTTCATTGATCACGGATGCTATTATATACAAGTCACAGCACAATCATCTCCTATCAATTGTATCCTATAATTGTGGACAATATCAAGGTAAATAATTGCTGTCAGTTACATACACTAATTGCTGTCAATTATAGGAAATGCATAAGGAAAGAAATAATATTCAAATGTAACTCCCCAGGAATGGTGCCTAGGATGTCTCTCTATCATGCCCCCGCAAGATGGAGCATCCATCTCGGATGCCAATTTTGAATCGATGATGCAAGAACTGTTTTCGAGGAAGTGCTTTGGTGAGGGAATCTGCCAATTGATCATTAGTGTGAACATGAGAGACACGTAGCCTATGATTAACAACCTGGTCACGAACAAAGTGATTATCAATAGCAATGTGCTTCATTCGTGAGTGGAACACTGGATTTTTACACAAGTATGTGGCACCAATATTATCGCAGTAAATTGTAGGTACATTTGTAGGTGGAGCATGTAATTCTTGGAGCAGATTAGTTATCCAATTTAGTTCAGCAGTAGTCGAAGCTATGGCACGATACTCGGCTTCAGTAGATGAGCGAGCAACGGTGCGTTGCTTTTTGGAGGCCCAACTGATTGGTGAGGCACCAAGAAACACAACATATGCAGATGTTGACGTGCGATCGTCAGTGTGGCCTGCCCAATCAGAGTCAGAGAAGGCATGAAGTTGCGGACATGATTCTTTGCGAAGAAAAATTCCATGATCAGAAGTACCCTTGAGGTACCGTAACAAACGTTTGACAGTAGCCCAATGATTTGAGGTAGGGCAATGCATGAATTGTGACAGTCGATTGACTGCAAAGGAGATATCAGGCCTTGTTAAAGATAAGTACTGCAGTGATCCCAATACCTGGCGGAATTGAGTAGCATCATGGCGAGGAGTGCCGTCATTGAGTGTTAAAGATTCAGTTGTGGATAAGGGGGTGCTAACCTCTTTAGCATCAGCCATGTTTGCCTTGTGCAGGATGTCAAGTACATACTTTCGCTGCGACAAGAACAAACCAGTTGGAGTGGTGCGAGCCTCAACACCTAGAAAATATAACAAGGGGCCGAGATCCGTCAAGGAGAATCTTTTGGCCAATTGATTAATGAACTGCTGGACTGGGGTAGAATTGTTGCCTGTAATGATGATGTCGTCAACGTATACAAGCAGGTAGAGTGTGGTTTGTCCATGGTGAAAGATAAAAAGCGAGTTGTCTGATTTAGAGTTTACAAATTTGTGAAGGAGTAGAAAGCCACGTAATTCATGATACCATGCACGGGGAGCTTGGCGAAGACCATAGATGGCCTTACGTAACTTGCACACATGAGTAGGAAACTGTGGATGAATGAATCCTTGAGGTTGCTGCATGTAAACATTTTCAGACAGTGTACCTTGCAAAAAAGCATTGTTAACGTCCAGTTGTCGCAAGTCCCAGCCATAAGAGACCGCTAAACTTAAAATAAGGCGTATTGTTGTAGGTTTTACAACAGGACTGAAGGTATCAGTGTAATCAATTCCGGGACGTTGATGGAATCCCTTGGCAACCAAACGAGCCTTATGGCGAGCAATAGTACCATTGGGGTTCCTCTTAATCTTAAATATCCACTTGCACCCAATGATGTTTTGTGTGTGGTGATGGGGTACAAGAGTCCATGTGAAATTTTTAAGAAGGGCGTCATACTCATCACTCATCCCCTTACGCCATTGAGGAAATTTTTCGGCTTGGCGATATGTTGTGGGTTCAGGAGGTTCATCGATTTTGGAAGTGGTGGTGTGGAGGTCAAGTATTTTGCGTGGCTTGAAGATATTATGTTGGGACCTGGTAGTTATGTTTGGTGGTGTAGGCAATTTGGATGGAGCAGCTTGTGAGGGAAATGAATGAGGGGAGGAATCATAACTTACCACATTTGTAGAGGAGTCCAGGGAGTGTGATTGGTGCAAGGCAGAGGTGGGCGGCATGACATGAGGATCTACTTGTTCATCAGCACCATGATTTGAGGGGTGTGTATTGGTGGGACCAGCTGGTAGAGGAGAACTTGAGTGTATGTGATGTAATGTAGGTAGGATAGGATATGAAGGTGCCTGATTGTGAGGGACAGATTCATGAGATGTTGACTCGTGATTTGTGGTAGGATTAGAGAGATTTGAGGGACACCATTGATGTAGAGATTCCGCCTTGATTCGTGTGTCATGTAAGGAAATTTTTTGAAAGGGAAATTGAGACTCAATAAAAACAATATGGCGTGTAATAAAGGTTTTTGATGTGGATGGGTCAAGACAGATATAGGAATTGTGAGAGAGGGAATAACCAATAAATATGCATGGTTTTGATCGTGGGGCTAGCTTATGAGTGGAATAGGGACGGAGCCAAGGGTAACACAGACAGCCAAATACTTTCAGTTTGGAATAATTTGGTTGTTTGTGAAATATTTTTTCGAATGGAGATTGGGACTTAAGAACTAGTGTGGGCATACGGTTAATAAGATATGTGGCTGTTTGGAACGCTGCAGACCAGAACCGTAAAGGTAGCGAGGCCTGATGAAGTAAAGTAAGACCTGTTTCGACTAGATGACGATGTTTTCTTTCAGCGGAGCCCACTAATTGAGGAGTATATGGGGGAGACGTGAGATGTTGAATACCAAAGTGAGATAGGTGATGAGCCAAGCTTTGATATTCACCACCTCCATCGGAATAGATTGTTTTTATTTTCAGTTGAAAGAAGTTTTCGACTAATTTCTTGAATTTGTCAAATATGAGAGGAACGTCTGATTTGTGTTTGATAGGATAGAACCAAGTATATTTTGTAAAGTAATCCACAAAAATTATATAGTACCGAAAGTTGTCATAAGAAATTATTGGCGATGGCCCCCAAACGTCGGTATATAAAATTTCTAACGGAGAATTACATGACACACTTGTTAAGCCAAACGAAAGTCTGTGGCTTTTATTATATAGACATGAATCACAATGACTAGAGAGAGACTGAGATATGGGTAGAGAAAATTTAGTTACTAATTTTTTTTGAATGGATTCGGAGGGATGGCCTAGACGGCGGTGCCATAGGTCGGCGGTAGTTGTTGTGGTGGTTGTGTATGCTGTTGGAACAGATGCAAATGATGGTGCTGATGACATAGATGGCCACTCATAGACGTCATCCTTATTCTGGCCTCGCACCAAGGATGCCCCCGTACTCAAGTCCTTCACAATAAAAGAATCAGGAAAGAATTCATTAGATGTGGCATTTTGTTTGCAAAATTGCGAAACTGAAAGTAAATTCTTTTTGATGTGGGGAGCACACAACACATTATTAAGGTGAAATGAAATATTTGAAGATGAGAGATTTGTAGAACCAATATGAGATATTGGAATACCGTTACCGTCGCCAACCATTATGTCTTCATTCCCATTGTAATCAGAGTGAACAGAGAGATTTTGCAAGTCAGAGGTAATGTGGTGTGATGCACCGGAGTCAACCAGCCAATTGTTGTTGTTGGATTGGTGATCTGTGGTCAAGAGATTCGCCTGAGGCCAATTAGGATTGTGGTGTGGCCTTGCTCGAGACCGACAAACCTTTGCCGTATGCCCAATTTTGTCACAGAGTTGGCATATTGGCTTAGGTTGTCCATGGTTGTTGTTTGGTCGCCATGGTTGATGTTGGGAGTGACTTGCTGGAGTAAAATTGCCCATTGTATTATAGGAAAAGTTGCTGTTGGAGGGGGAGGAGGAGGGGTTATGAAAACCTTGATTTCCTGAGTTGGTCTGTGGGTTGCCTGATATTGACCTGTTGCCATAATTGTTGTTTCCCATTCTATTGTTTTGATGATTTCCAGAACCAGACCTGTTTTTATTGTTGTTGGAGCGATGATGGTTGTACTGGGCAGTGATTGGTGTTGTCACTCTCTTCCCTTCTCCTCGTTTTAGAAAAGTCTCGTGATCTAGAAGTTTATCGTGAAGCTCTTCGAATGTCATAGCTGTTTCTCTTGTACGTATGGCTGCATTCAGTTCTTTATAGTCATTACTGAGGCCATGGAGGGTGTGAACGACGATCTCAGCGTCACTTAGGGGGTGCCCAATCAAGGCAAGGTCGTCAACAATTGTTTTGATTTTTTGCATGTATTCGGCTATGGTGGTGCCTTCTTAAGATGTCCTCATGAGTGTGGACAGAAGGGTGAGCATCCTAGTATTCGAGCGATTGGCAAAAGTTGTTTCCAGCTTATTCCACGCTTCAGTAGAGCATTTGCAGGTGGAGATAAGTGGTGCTATAGTACCTGCAAGGGAGGCCTGAATGGCCTGCAATATTAGACGATCTTGACGCAGCCACTTCTTATGATCTGGGTTTGGAACAGGTTCAGTTCCTTCAGTTGTGTTGATGGTGGATGCAGGACAAGGATGTGTGCCATCAACATAACCCAGCAAATCATAACCAAACAGTAAATTAGAGAATTGAGACCTCCATGAGGCATAGTTTCCACTTCTGGAAAGTTTGAATAGTATTTGAGATGCAGTGTTGATGGAGATTAGATTAGTTTGTGCAGAAGGGTTGGAACCAGTTGATACGACAACCGGTGTTTCAGAGGTTGAGGAGTTTGATGAGTCTGATGGGTTGATTGAAGAAGACATTGTAGAGAAGGAAAAAAGAGGGAGATATAATAGAGAGGTGAGGATCAGTTTTAAGCTTGGTGGCTTGAGTGCTCTGATACCATATAGAAAAGATATTGTATGAAAATATTATTCTGCTTTTCATTGATCACGGATGCTATTATATACAAGTCACAGCACAATCATCTCCTATCAATTGTATCCTATAATTGTGGACAATATCAAGGTAAATAATTGATGTCAGTTACATACACTAATTGCTGTCAATTACAGGAAATGCATAAGGAAAGAAATAATATTCAAATGTAACTCCCCAGGAATGGTGCCTAGGATGTCTCTCTATCACTATTGACGCCATTGTAGGTCTTTCAGCTACATCTTCTTGAACACATAGCAAACCAATATGAATGCATCGCATGATGTCATGAAAGGATCGTGAAGAAGTCCTCAATGCGGGATCTATTATATTTGTTGTTGTTCCTTCGTGCCAATTTTTCCAAGCCTATGAGAACGTAACACGTTTGACAAATAAAATATTCAAAATTATCATTACTTTCTTCAAAATCTCGAACAAGACTTAATTTTACTTACATAACTTAGGAGGTTCTCCACATTCTCCCCATTTTGGAAACTATTAGTTTTTTGACCACTTATGATTTCCAGAACTATGACGCCAAAGCTGAAGACATCTGATTTTCTAGAGAATGGCCCGTGAAATGCATACTCAGGTGCCATATATCCACTGCAATGGTGAGTTTGGAAGTCTATAGTCAGTTACCAATATGTAGAGATATACAGATATGTTTAATATGATACATGAATTGTCGGCAGTACTTCTTTGTTGCTTTTCATGCATAACAATAATCCTATGAGACCAAGAGTTTTGGAAGCAATCTTACTAGGTTCCTACTATCCTACTGGTACTGCTATGAGTTTGGTCTTGGACGAATAACCTCGCCATGCCAAAATCTGATATTTTGGGATTAATCTTTCCATCTAACAAGATATTGCTAGCTTTAAGATCACGGTGTATGATCTTGAGTCGAGAGTCTTCGTGTAGATAAAGAACTCCCTTAGCAATTCCCCTTATGATTTCATAGCATATATCCCAGTCCAATTTTGGACTCTTGATTGGATCTACGAGTTCAAATAGGCATATGATGTTGTGAGGAATCAAAGACGACAACTATGCTTAAAATGACAAGCAATTACATGTATAAGCAATTTGTTGTAAAAAAAATAAGATTTACTTCAAATAGAATGTTACCAAATAAGAAATGGTCAAGACTTCCATTCTCGACAAATTCATATATAAGAAGCCGCTCGCTTCCTTGTAAAGAGAAACCTAAGAGCCTTACTAGATTCACGTGTTGAAGACTCTCCATTAACAAGACCTCATTCTTAAATTCGCGATCACCTTGCCTCGAATTCATAGACAACCTTTCCACAGCTATTTCTTGCCCACTGACAAGTTTTCCCTGAAAATAAAATTTGGATAAATGAATAGTTTGGATAAATGCCAATACTCTAAACCGATATTTGAGTTACTTTATTAAATAGCAAAGTTCTACTTGTATATATTGTAACAATATTTTAATAATTACCTTGTAAACAATGCCAAATCCACCTTGCCCGAGCATGTTAGCATCCGAGAAATTATCTGTTGCTGCTCTAATTATACCGAATTCAAAGTACACGGATTCAACAGAACTAATTTCATCGTGAGCTTGAAAACGTATACAAGAACATTTTAGGTGAATTGTAGGTGAAAGAAAACTAAATTAAGGTTTATGTACATATAAAAGTAGATATATCTAAAGAATATTATAAGCTTACTTTCAAGTTTTGCCCTCGGTTTATGATTTTGTCTAAACCTTAGGAAGAAACCAATGCAAAGAGCAACTATTAGACCCACGATAATTGGAACAATAACATTAATGATAGTTTGAGTTGTATTTTTGTCATTTCCTGCAATATCATAATAAAATCGCGTCGGTATAACTTTTTGAACTTTTTGATCAAATCTAACATTTTTTTCAACGAAAGGTTTGGAAGGATTATGTTAGTATATTTTCTCACCCGGTGGTGCCGGTAGTGGTGGTGTTGGTAGTGACATTGGTGGTGGTGGTGGTGGTGGTGCCGGCAGAGAAGTATCATTATAAGACAAATAGGTTTCATAGCGAAGAAGGCAGCTGGGGCAATACACTCCGAATCCTAGTTTCCCATTACAACATTGTGGTATAATCTCAGCAACCCCCTGGATTAGGCAATCACTACAATCATCTGAGCTTAAATCAGGAGTGCACTGTACTAGTCCATAAAGTGTCAACAGATCGGGAGCAGTGTTGGCAGCAGCAAACTTCTTGCCAGCGCCACCATAAGCAGCCTGGCTGCGGAGATTATCTAACAATGTTCTCAAAGCCCTGTTGAACTCTTGCCGACTTGGGGAGTCGGATGTTACATACCACTGTTGGCGAGGGTCAGTTTCAAGTTTTCCAAATATTGATTCATTAGAGTAGCGTAACATGCATTGACCACCCTCAGCCCAATAGATCGCCTGTTTTTGGTAAGGACAGAATTGTAAGAGGGCATCCGTAGCATTATTGATACAACTACGACATTTATCAAGCTGAAAGTCTCCTCTACAGAGTGCCATTGCATTCACTCTATCGAAGTTATCTCCATATGAGGCACTGTAAAATCCATTGCCATCAATTAAAGAAGTGATAGAGTAGAGGAGGGTATCGAGATTTGCCTTGTACGTGCGATTACNTTACTTTTTATTCACATATATTATGTACTATCATGTATAAGCAACTGCCATACATGCACAGTTTTAAGATTTATCTTAATATTAAGCTGTCCCATATATCATCATCATCATTTTATATTTTAAATGACATTTACCATTCCAAAGAAAGTTATTCTTTCAACAGAAGTTTCTTCATTTTACATGCTATTACTTGTGTAATTACCACAAATGCTTCTGGGATTTAACCAAAGCAAAAAAGTTTGTAAGATTGAGGAAAATGAAAGGTAGCCATTTCCATGAAGCCATCGCTGCGATGTCTATATATCTCAAATAAGGAGAGAATAAAATATTGAAAGTGCACAGAAATTGAATTAGAATCAGTATAAAGTAGATCTTATACAAATCAAACCAATAATTAATCATTACCTTGTACAAGCATGAGATACAGAATGATAAAGCACATTGTCCAAAAATCGATACATGTCAGACCGCTTCAACCTGCACAATATCTAAAACTTATATACATCACTAACAAATTAAATTATGGTACAAAAAATTTAAGTCATGTACACATATCATTAAGTGTGTGTGATTAATCTTTTTAGGAAGAAGAGCTCAATCCCTTTTTTTATTAATTATAGTTTATATGATGCCTTAATCATTCATCTTAAAAGGTTAACTATTTGAAAGGGTAAACTCAAGAAATTGATTATTATTTCATATTTAAACTGTGTGAGATTTTATCATTAATATGCCACAAAGTATGGTGACTCGTTTGATATTTTATCATTAAAAATTGAATTATTTGTTTGGGTTTCAGACAGATCGAAATGCCCCTTTCAGCTTTTTATAAAGCTTGGATCCCAATTAAATTTTGTTAAGCCTTGATCTTGATGGGTATTTAAGTCAAATCATAAGTAGATTGTACCCTCGCCAACATCTTTGCCACGGCAGGAGGGGCGGGGCGGGGCGATGGCTTGTTTTCAACGTTAGTGATAAAGTAGCCATTATTTTCAAGTCTAAAGATTGAACATTGACTAGGACGTGGATAATGTGCAACAAAAGAAGGGAGAAGGGGCTTAGTATTTTCCCATACTGAGCATTTCAAATAGATTTTTCTTCTTTCTACCCACCAACAAATCGTGTCAAACTTTCCATCCTGATCACACTGGAAAACCTTATATTTTGGGCAAATTGATTTTTCACCAATTTTTAAAATTGGTCAAAAAACTTGTAGAATTCAGACTTTGGCCTTAATGGATACAACCATGTGAATAAGGAGAAATCATCAACAAACATTGCATTGTATTGAATTTTACTTTTTTATGTTTGACAATTAACGCGTATAGGAGGTTAGTTACACAATGAGACACATTAATAATTTTTTCCCCTTTAATAAAGTAATTAACTTTGGACGTGAATGCCCAAGCGGTCGAAGCCAAATAGTTCGAATCGAACCACTTTTTCTTAATATGCTTAAAGTTTGATGAGAGATTCCATCCAAGGCATATAGCTAAACCTGCTTATGCCCCTTGCGATTATCCTTTGGTTTTGGTCTTGAACAACAAACCCACAATAGGTGAACTCAAAAGAACAACGATTATTTGAAGTACACTTTCCAATGGGCACTAAGTTTTTTTTTTTCAAATCTAGGAGTACAAGACCATTGTTCAGTTTAAAGCGTGTTTCCTTTTGTCATAACATTTAAAAAAAAAAAAATTAGAGTCAAAGTTTAGCAATAAATACTTCTGGTTTGCATTTTTCTCACATTCTCCCATACCTCACAATATTCACCTTTTTCAATGGCTTAGATTAAGTCACGTTAAATTCTTAAAAAAAGAGCAAAAATGATGGGATGGATCGACATGCCAAGCACTACTCTGTAAAATTATCTCAGATTCCCAAAAAATCATAATGATTTTAAAATTCACCAAACTGGGCTATAATATACCCTAAAGCAGAATCAAACTCAAATGCGTTTAAAGAAGACCTCTTGATAGATTGTACACCTTCTACTATGCTGAAAGCATGCTCAACAAAATCAACATCTAAATACCTTTTTCCACTAGGCCCATCCTTAACAATTGAATACAATGGCACCGTAGGTGATGGTGACAAAACAGTATTATCCATATTTTATGAACTCAACTGAGTAGTATTCTTCAAATCCGACCTTTTACGATCTCTTAAAGGTATTGTACCAAATTGAATGTCTACCATGGTACTGAACCTGTGCTGATTAACTCTTCTAGATTATGCACAACCCTGCAAGATGTATGATTGAGACCTTTTTTATTCCTCCAATACAACCTGAACACCCTTACAAACTTTTAAAACTCCACCTCCACCAAAGAACTCATAAATTTTTGAATCAATGATAGACAATGAGATGAGATTCTTGTTCAAATCTTGAAAATGTCAAACCTGGTCATATATTTTAATCGTCTCATCCAATAGCTTTAATCTGACCGTACAAATTCCAGCAACCCAACAAGATGTGTTGCTTTCCATAACCACAACACCTTTGGAAATGGTTTCATATGTAGTAAACAATTTATTAGGACACATATGAAACACACATGCTAAATCCAAAATCCAATCATCTTCTGGTTTAGACTCAATGTCAGAAATAGCCAAGAGATCTCCCTCACTTACAATATTCTTTGCGAGGTTTGCTTCACTTGAAATCTCTGATTGTTTCCCATATCGACTTGCAGCTAACCTTTCTTTATTCTGCAATTTGTAGCAATCCTTCTTAATGTGCCCCTCCTCTTCTTGCAGAAGTTACAAATTTGATTATCGGACTTCGATCTGCCCCTTCTAGAACAACCATGAACAATAAGGCTTTCTCCATCTTAGGCCTCAGATACCAGATGCTTTATCTTCTCTTTTAAAAATAAAGCATCATACACCTCCTCTATGTTGAGATTATCATGACTATACAAGATCGTGTCTCTAAATGAAGAAAATGAAACAGGAAACGAACACAATAGGATTAATGCAAAATCTTCTTCATCATACTTTAATTCCAAAGTTTCCAAATCAGCGAGAATCTCTTTAAATACAGCTAGGGAATCTTTCAATGATCATTCTTCTGCCATTTGATGAGAATATAAATGATGCTTGAGATGCAACTTGGTTGTAAGACTTTTAGTCATACACAATTGCTCCAACTTCAACCATAAAGCAGCTATTACGCCTTTCTTCAAAATATCCTGAAGAATATTGTTTGATAGATGAAGATGAATGTGAAAAATTGCCTTCTTATCCTTCTATAATTTCTCATCCAAGGTCAAAGTTGTGGGTATCTTGTTAATTCCCAACAACACGCCATCCAAATCCTACTGTGTGAGTAGTGTACGCATTTTAACATGCCATAGAGAAATTTTAGTGTTTCGATCCAAAAGCGGAATGTCATACTTCATGGATGCCATTACGAACAAAAACCTCGAACAAATCAAATCTTCCGCTCTACGGAACTGCTGAATATAGGCTCTGATACCACTTGTTGTGTTAATTATGCCTAGAATCTTTGATACCAATTGTTGGGAATTAAAGGATCATGTATCGTTCGATACCACTTGATATAACCACCGGATTGAGATGTTGAAGTTATATGGTACAATGATGAAGCATTTGATCACAAGCAAAGGAATAAAAGAAGACAGGAAAATATAGCAGAGGAATTAAGAGATTTTATTGCACCACAAATAATGAAGATGAAGAAATATTATACAATGATCCCAAAAGCTAGTAATTATTTTTCTCACACTATTCTCACATCATAAAATCGTATAGAAAACCCTAATAGGGAACATGTAGAGGACATTCAAACCTTCCTAGTAGAGTTGTTGATTAAGTAGGACGCCAAAAAATCGAGTCCAAAATGAAAAATAAGAAAAAAAAAAGGAGAAAAATTCGGAATAGGTGCTATGGCCCCCACCTTCGGGCACCCAACATCGGTGTCGGTGCTATGGCGCCCCAGTGTCCAGGGCAGAAAATGAAAAGGGATGTTGTGGCACTGCGATGCAGGGCGTTATGCCCACTTTTCCCTCTTTTTTTATTCCAAGTTGTTTTCTTCATTCCAAACTCTTTTTCAAGTCTAATATCAATTTCCAACTCCCAATGGGCTTCCAAAATGGAATTTCAACTTGACATAGGACTCCAATAACATTCCAAACTGAATTCTTTTTGATGCGCACTTCAATTAGATGCTTCAATTACTTCAACGAGGAATTCGAGTCACATCCAGATTCTAATAAAATATGTTGAACGTTGTTCACATTAAAAATGAGGAGTGATTTTAGAAGTGATGGAAGTTGTTAACCATGAGAAAAACAAGAAAAAACAAAACGAGAACAAAAAATGGTGAAGGTTGAAAAATGGTCTGGGCAGCCTCCTAGCCTTGTGTTCTAATTATATTGACCGTTTTGTTGAACTGGGCAGGCATCCGATTTTGTACTGGGTGGCTGCCTAGTACAACAATTTGCCCATCAGGGTTTTGAATTCTAGAGTCGTTTAAAAGGGTTTTACATAATTTTGGCTTAGTTTTTGCACATTTTTTTGCAAGGTGATTGTAATTCTATATATATAAGTGATTTTCATAATTGAAAACAAATCACTAACATCAAATTGATTCCATTACATCCAAAATCTAATATCAAACCAAGTTTTTATAATTTTGTTCTTTAGTTCCTTTTTCCAAATTTTGTTTGCTTGATTCAAACTTGGATTAAGGTTTGTTTACTCCTACAAACTATTTGTCATAAAACCTTCAAGTACTTACCCCGATGGCGGTAAATATCGTTTGAGACAGTGATTCACAGTCGTGTTGAAACCTTCCATTTTAGCGATTTCTTGTTGCTGATTTTATTTTTGTTCTTCATCAACTTTTCTCATTAATC